TATTATTATTATTATTATTATTATTATTATTATTATTATTATTATTACTGTTTTGATAAAAAAAATAGACCAAAGTGAATAAAAAAAAACTAGATTATCTAAATACCAAAAACTAATCTGTTATTTTTTTCAAAACAGTTTGATATTTCGTTTTCAATTTTTTTCCATTTTGTTTTTTATGTGGTTTTTTACATCATTGTTGATAATTATTTCAATCATAATGCATTCCACATCACTCATATAATAAAATCATCATGTTTTGAAATCTACCTCATCTAATAAACAAAGCCTATAATTTGCCATATGTCCCTTTCTACACTGCAAACCTGCCACGTGTCATCTAATGCATTTAATCCTATTTTATAAAATAAATAAAACTTAAAAAAATTACATAAATGTAGGAAAAATCCCGATTTATTTTCAGCTTTCTCATTTTCGGATCATATAACTTTCAAAATTCAAATTAAAAATCCATGTTTTTTTGGAAACAATAACAATTTAAGTTCAATTTCATTGACTACAAATCTTATATTTTTTAAACTCTTTTCAAGATTTAAATGAATCCCAAGAAATCAGGAATTTCAAAATAATATTCTAACTCCGTTTATATTGTGCTTTGTCGTCTTCAACATCCATTCCCATTATCAATTATAATTCTTCTTTCTCATATTCAATATTATGATTTCTGCATACTGTCGACATAAGAAATCTGGTGAGTTCATCTTCATAACTCAAAATTTATAACCTTAAAATATATTAATACCAATGCAGTTATGTTTGCTAAAAATATCTGTTGTGAAATCATTATTCGTTATTTGTGTTTTGATGTTCTTTGAAGTGTGATTTTCATGGTTGTGTTTGACAGAAAATGGTCTCAGGGGTATTTTAGTCTTTTATTGACTTTTTTTACTTTCGTTATTTGTGTTTTGATGTTCTTTGAAGTGTGATGGGTTGTTACTAAAAGTGTACCCAACAACAAGAAATTGATGATCAGTATGATTGCTAATGATCAACAATGTTGATATTGTTTTTGTATTTGAATGTGTGTGTTTTGATGCACAGATTACCTTTTTGGTGACAACTTTAATTTTGAAAGTTCCAGCACTAAATACCACAACACTAAATACCACTCTGGTCCTTTTATTTTTACTTTGGATGTCAAATTTTATGTTATTAAAACATTACCTGAATGTTGTTTATGAATTCATGGCGTTGACATAACCTTTTTTTGCATGTTTATAATCAGTGTAGTTAATCTTTTTTATTTTTCTTAAAATTCAAACATATTTGTTGTAAATTTTCAATTTTCAAATAGTTTGTTTGACCCATAAAATAAGAAATAAAAAACAGTAGGCGAAGTATCCACTTTTTGGATGATTCAAGTTAATTGAAATGTGTAAAAGTATAAATTCGATTTAAATTACATAAAATAACCCTCAAATTTCAATGGTGTTCCAATCAAACCCTCATTGATTTTTGCAAACAAGTTGGTAAAGTTCTGGAATGGACGATCTTTCTGTAATTCCATTCTATTGATTTTTGCAAATAAGTTAATTTTTTAATGTAAGATATCATTTTTAACGAATGTCATAAAACTACCCCCTCAAAGGTCTAAAGAAGAGTTTTTTTTTTTTTTTTTTTTTTTTTTTTTTTTTTTAGTTTTGGTCAATAAAAGAAATTGAAGATATTGAAGCTATAAATATAAAATAAATTGAACAAATCGATAAATTTTACCTTTTTGGTCATTTTGGTGATTTTATGTTATTTTTTTGTTTTTGTTTTTTTTTGCATATAATAGCATCCTACTTTTGTTTTTTGTTTTTTGTTTTTTTTTACTTTTGTTTTTTCTGGAGGGCAAAATGGCCAGATGGGTGACATTTTCATGGTTGTGTTGGACAGAAAATGGTCACGGGTGTATTTTAATCTTTAATTGAGTTTTTTGTTTTCTGTTTTGTCTAACAAATAACTCCTTTATCTTTACATCATTTACAGGTACTTTATCTAATTAATCCTAACATAAGGTAAATTTTTTTTAGTGAAATCGATTATTTTTACCTTTTTGGTCATTTTGGTGATTTTTAGTGAAATCACATTACTCAGTTAATTAATAATTTCCTGATTGTTGGCTCTCAGATTTTATATAATTGATTTTTTTTTTGAATTTTGTTGTTCATCTTATATATCAAGTAAACTTATTATAGATTATATATGCTATTTTAAAATTTTGAGGGGACAGAGAAAATAGAAGTTGTAATTCCCTTTTCAAGTGAACTACAAATTGATTGTAATTCCCAAGTCTTTTCAATATTTATTCTCATTTCATCGACTTTTCTAATTTTTTTTACAGATATGGCTACTTCAAAGATTACAACCATTATAAAAATGTAGTCTTAATCAGAAATAACCATAATTTAATTAATAACAGTTTACTTCAATTTTTATTAATAGCATTGCACTTATATTTATTGAAAATTTTGTAAATTTAAAAACATAAAATAGCATTGTAATTTTATTTCTTGTACATGTTAGCATTCTAATTTCGCTTCATATTTAAAAAAAAAAAGACAAAACCATCTAAATTTTTTTAATACTATACAGACAAAACCATCTAAATCAATTTTTATACAAACATATATTTATATATTAATGTTTATGTTTATTAACATCTTGCTTTTTTTTTGAAGCAGATTGAAGAGTTCATCATTGTCGGTACTATAATAGGAATCCGCCAAGACAAACCTTGGTGTTACCAAAGTTGTCCCGACTGTCACGTAAAGGCAGTTGAAATTACGGATAGCAATGAAGATGTGAAACTTTACAAGTGTACAAATGTTGAATGCAACAAGTCCACTAAAGTTCCTATCCCAAGGTTTTTTTTAAAATCATTTTAAATAACAAATTATGTTTTTTCTTTTTAATTAAACAATTTTAAATTGTTATAACTTTCTTTTTTAGATACATTATTCCAGTTTGTGTACAAGACGATTCTGCTTCTACAATCTTAACTATGTTTGATCGGGAAGCATATGGGCTCTTGGGAATTTCAGCCAGAGATTTAGCAGAAAAACATACTAGGGTACATTTATATATACATTTTCAAATTTATTTATTTTTACCGTTTGACTCCAAATGTAATAGTTATTTTTACCATTTTTTCAGCTTGGATTCAGTTTGGCCATATATCCGCCTGAACTCAATTTTTTGAAAAATAAGCATTTAGCTTTTAAACTGAGTGTCACGAAATATAATGTGAAATTTCAAAACAGTGTCTACACAATCTCAAGGGTAACAGAGGAAAAGCAAATAATTGAGACTTTGGAGAGAAAGCTACTTCAGTTGCAGGTTATCATTTACTATTATTTAAATTTATTATGCAAATTTAAAACACCATTTACTATTATCTTAAAGTATTTGCACATATATCACATATAAAACATATATTGTCACATGTATAGCCTGCAAGTTTAGAGTCTTTAAACGATGGACCATCCGACTCCAATTCCCAGGAAAAAATAGTTACCAAGGTATAATTTAACACTAATATAATGCCATTATAAGTATTTTACTTTTTCATTTTTTACATAATATGGTTTAATTTTTTGTTTTAAGGATTGGGTTTCACATTCCGATGAAAATGTTACACCGTCTACCGGGGATATTTTGACACCAACAAGTTCTCATCATGTGAAAACTACTCCGGTGAATTTAACACGCAAGTTTGAAGAAGTGTATGATGTGGAACAGTATTCGAATTCGTCATCAACAAAAGCACAACGTCTTTCAACTGAAACTGGAGAGGAGATCAAACTTTTGATACCAAAAGTTGAAAAATAAGAAGACAAACATTTATTGAAACGGTTCTTGCTTTAGCCTTATTTATAAGTACCCATGATTTTTTTAATAATTCTTCAAACTTGGTGAATAAGTTATTAAAACATTGTACTTTGAAAAATACAATTCACTACTCTTTTGCATTGATGGATTTTAAGACATTTATGTTTGGTTTTGTTTTTAATTTTATTGAATATTGTTATTTTTTTCATTTCGTAAGTATTTTGACATTGTATTTTGAAAAGTACAATTCACTACTATTTTAATTTTCTTTTGATATGAATTTATTTTTGTCCCTAAATGTTTGTTATGAAATTTTATGCCTTTCTTAAAATTATCAAGTTTATCATTGTATGCAATGTATTTTATGTCTTTCATTTTTGTATTTTATGCCTTTCAGTTTTGGTACTGATGATGTCCATGTTTTAAATAAATTTAAAGAAAATAGAGGTTTTATTCATTTTTAATTATTTTTGGAAAAAACGAAAGTATAAAGTTCATTCCTTATTTCTAGAGGGCAATATGGGTAGATGGGTGACATTTTCCTGATTGTGTTGGACAGAAAATAGCATCCTACTTTTGTTTTTTAGTTATTTATTTTTGGTCATTTTGGTGATTTTTATTTTTAATTTTTTTTTTGCATATAATAGCATCTTAATGCCAGCTATGCGTAGAGGAGTGAAAGATCTGCCATTTGGGAATAAGTGCTTATATTAATCATCATTTTTGATTTTCTAATACAGATATATTGTTATATCTAACTAAAATTCTCCCATAGATACCCATATTTAAAGCCTAAGGAAAACCTTATTTGCTACCTTAACAAGAAAAAGCTATACGTATGGAAATTTGTGAACTACAAAGTGTTTGTGTAAACTTGTGTAATGATAGTGAACTAATTGAAGCACAATAAGTTGAAATTTCTAAATGCTCATAAACACATAAATTCGAGAAAACTAACAGTGAAATTATTATACTGTGGTAGTTTTTTCTCAACCTAATGCAAACAAAGATGCATCCTAACCCTAACAAACAAACATATAATAAAAATTCCTATTATACCCTTTTATAATCGTTTGATTTTATTACATTTTATACACCCCCGTCATATGAAGTTTTATGTTTATTTTTTAAATAAGAATGGTAATTTGACTAATAAAACTTCCAATGTTGTGTTCAAGGAAGTATTTCAAAATCTATGTTGAAGTTTTATGTTTATTTTTTTAAATCAAATAAAGTTGTAGTTACTTACCATCCACAGTCAAATGTTTTTTTACATTTATTAATTTTTTTGGTCTATATAAAATTTTTAACTTACCTCTCGTGGTTTTCACGGGTTATAACCTAGTTAATTATATAAATAAATTCTTTAAAATGGCAGTTTCTATATAGCTCAAAAAGATATTTTATATATAAATTGAAAGAGAAATAGACTTATTAAGGTAATTAACTTTTCAGTCTGTTCACATCTGAGTAACTAATTTTTTTTTGTACACATCTAGGTAACAGACTTTTTGGAAGTGTTCACATATGACCATTATGATCGGTTATGACCGGATGTAATATGTTACAGTCGGTCATAATGGTCATATGTGAACACTTCCAAAAAGTCTGTATCTAGATGTGTACAAAAAAAATTAGTTACTCAGATGTGAACAGACTGAAAAGTTAATTACCTCAATAAGTCTATTTCCTTAAATTGAAATCACGGTAATGCTATTTTATTGGGTATATTGGGATGCTTTGCAATTGAAAGAAAAAATAAATATGGTATTTAGCAGGGATGTAAAAAAAATGTATCAAAAATTTTGAAACCGAAAACTACACTGTCTTATGTGAACAACAATTTGGTTTTGTTTATTATATAAACTTTATTATTCTTTTGAGTTTGGTTTTTATATAAAAACAATCATAACCAAAATACCAAAAATTATGTCAATTTAGACATATGTTTTATTGATTAAATGTGTTGAAAAATAGAATAATTATTATGAATTAATGGTTTCGATTGAAATATAGAATGACACATGTTTTTGGCTTCGTCATGTATTATGTTTTAAGAAATTATGTGTCTTTGTCAATGTTCTAAATAATGTAAGGCGTGACTTGACGGCAATGTTAAGCCTCAAGCTTTTCCGAGCCTTGGCGAGCCACGTCGTTTGTAATGCGTGACTTAAGGCGGCAATTTTATACATAATTAATATTTTTATATGTATTTTCAACTATTATTTTATTTTATACACATATATAAGTTAAGACGGCGTTTTAGTAAAGCTTGGCGGCAGACACAAGCCTTGGAGCCATGGCGCGTCATGACGGAGCCATGACGAGCTTTTTAGAACCTTGGTCTTTGTTGAATACTACCATGTGATGAAAAAACTTATGTAAACAAAAATAAAAACAAAAAACAAAGAAGAAAAGAAACTAGTTTGGTATTTTTCAAAGTTAAAGTTCAAAATTTCCGAACGCGTTTTAATTTTAGAGAAAAAAAACATGAACCCATACATTTTGGTTAACAAATTATGTTTGAAATTGCATTATATTTTTGAAAAATATATATATTTTCTTATAAAAAGTTTTTTTTAGCTTTTTAGATATTAATATTTTTTCTTTTTAGAAATGTAAATGATTTTAAAAAATACTAAAAAAATAGTTGTTTTCCACACTCATAATTGAAAATATAGTCAGGTTTTCTGAAAATTTCTCACATAAATATAAACATATAACACATAGAATCACACCCATTGATGACAAATTATATTATCCACAACGTGAGTTTTTCAAACGAAAAACTTTAAAATTTTGAAAAATCTATTGAAAAAGTTTTTTCAAATTAAATTATTTTCAAAAAGCTGATAGATCTATCAACTTTTGTGATACCTTTTAATAGTTGTAGTTGATTTCATAGTTTAATCAGTTATAATAGACAAACTAGACAAGCGAAACATATAGGATTTTTTTTACATTGTAAAAATATAAGAGGTGTTTTTATTTTAAAATGTTTTCATAAAATGGTTACTTAAAGCAATAAATCTCTTGAATTATCTGTACCACATGGACCCAAATTCACATGGTTATTATCAGGACAAGCTATTGGCGCCAAAACTTAAAGAAAGAAAAAGGGTCTACTCATTATCCACCAGATCTTTCACTTTCATCAATCAAAACGCACAACCACCCGCAATCCAAAAAATATCTCTGATGGGTCGATATTTGATTGAACAAAATATCTTTGAAGCTATTTTTTATTCTATAAAATCTTCAAAAAAATACAACTCAATTAGCATTTTATAAAATGGAAGAGGGTAACAACAGGCCAAACAGGAGCGATGCTCATTTGTCGAAAGAGGAAGAGGCGAAGATCGAAGGGGAAACAAGGGATTATTTCGATGGGTTAGCACCCAGGCGTCATACGAAGCCACAACGCAGTGAGTATGCGACGAAATATGTTGATGGTTTGCCCAATGATGAAGATGATGGTGTTAGCCCTGAGTATTTAGAGTTTCAACATCTTGAACAGAATTCTGAGGTTTGTTCTTTTTTTTTTATTCTAATATTATTTGGGTTTAATAAGTTTTTATTATGTTCGACTTTTTAGTTTCGTGAATAGTCAATTGTATAAATATAATTAGATATTAGAAGAACTACAAGGTGTATTTACAATATCATATTCAATTTCATTTTATTCCCAAAGATCACGCAATTTAATAATTTGTTTTTTCCATTCCATTCTGTTCAATTAAACACACCCCTGATAAAAATAAGAAATTGCTTAGACTATTTTGCCAAATGTCTAAAATACCCCTGATTCAACTAGACTTGTCAAATAGTTGAAACTTTATCCTAATGCATGGTGAGTTACTACCAGGGGTGCATAAATAGCTATAAAAAGTTCACTTTTTTGGGCATGTTTTTAAATTCTTTCAAAAAAAAATGTTCAAAAAACCTTTTAATAATGACAAGAAAAGGAAAATTTTCTTCTGTGAATGATTTTTTATTTTTTGTTGTTGCAGAAAATTGTTTATACAGGTAAGGAAGTGAGTGATGAGTTTGTGGAGACGGAATATTACAAGGATCTTAATGGTGTTGACAAGCAACATCACACGGTATATAATATTATAATAAGTATAATATATTTCCCTTTTTATCTTAATAAAAATGTGTCATTAACTTTTCTTCAACATTATACTTGGCTTTCTATCCCTATATAACCATTAAAAGGTCCAAATACAATAAAAATCAACATACTTTCTATTTAATCCTTATCATAGCAATGTACTTTCTTTTTTATTACTTTCAAATTATTCTTCGTATAAACTTTTCCTTTTATGATGACATATAAAGTTTTGGGTTTATGTTTTATAAGGGTAATAAACTTTATCACGTATACATATTTAGTCATTTAAGTTTTTTTACATGTATGACCAAAAAGTTTAATGGTCATATATGAACAAAAAAAAGTTTAATGGTCATATGTGAACAAAAAAAAGTTTAATAGTCATATGTGAAAAAAAAAAATTTAATGGTCATATATGAATAAAAAAAATTTAATGGTCATATCTATACAAAAAAAGTTGGTAATGTGTACAAAAAAAGGATATCGCATTAAAAACCTTTAAGTTTTACAAAAAAATACTGGCATTATTTTTTGGTGCGTTAAAACTGGAAACTTGTAAGTTATTTTTTCTACTTTTACTCTTGTTACCTATGATGACATGTGTTAAAAAGTTCTATTGTCATTGTCGACATTGGATGCCCACATACTCTTAAAGAAATTTTAAACTGGGTTTTCCATGTCAATATAATCGTATCCACATCAGATTTGCCATGTCAGCAAGCAAAAGATATAATGGAATAGGTAATTTTTCTAAAGCAAAATGCCCTAATAAGTAATAACTATAGATTACAATGCGATAATAAAAGAAAAAATAGAATGTATATTGCTATTTCTTGCAAAAATGAGAAAATGCATAAAAAATCATCATATTTGCCAGTTTTTACAA